CGATAATAGTGAAATAATGAGAAATAGTGCTAAATGCCTTCCCCCTTTCCCTTTCCCGACCGAATTGCGCCCTTCCCTGCTCTGACGAAGAGGAACAAACCGAAACTAAGCGAACTAAAGGTGTTAGAGTCTTCGTTGGGCTTCATCGAGGCAATCCACCTTAATCAAGATCAAAAGAGAACAGATTGTTATCAAAATAATTTAGTGGGCTTCTTGGCACCTCGCCAACGTGCGTCGTCGCTTCGTGATAACTCCACAGAGGTTGGCATGTCCGCAATAGATTTCTTGCAACCGGAGCGATTGGTTTTATCACCTATCTATGGAAAGGAAAGGGCTAGTCGAAGTACGTGAGCTTGACTTTCACATAGTCCATTTGCTTGAAAGAGACGGTGATTGCATAGGCATATTTCAGAGACTATTCTGAGCGATGATGACGAATCTGTTTATTCTCATCCATCTATGATTAACGACTCGGAAAGAATACCGGAACGTGTAATTTTATCTTCGTCTCCACTTAACAATGGATATCCTCCGCAAAATGTGGCAGTGAGTGGTGTTTAACATTTGATTTTTGAGCGCTGTTCGGCTTGGGAGGGGCGTCTTGTAATCTTGCTAGTTCATGTTAATCAACAAGTTACACTTTGGTAAGGCCTGTAAACTCCTGTGAAGCTGCAAAATGTTACAAGTGAGCCACCTTGGTTACAGGAAGTTGCAGGCTTTCACAAGGTGACTTGAACTAGTTTTGCTAGGGCTAGGTACTATTTGGTGCCCCCCCAAGCTGAACCACGTCGTTTTTCTATGAAGTCGTGAGTCAAGTTCTGGTATTTTTTTTGAAGACGGCGATCTGGGCCCAGATGTGTGACTGGTATTTCAGGACTATAATTGTGTTCTTCGCGCGAACAGAAAGCGGCCGCACGTCGTTTCGTCCCGAAAGCAGTAGGTGAGTCTCATTCGCCGAGGATCGGCAGTTCACACAAGGGGGGCGGCGAACAAGGTGAAGCAAACTTAAGTGCGCCCCCTTTCGCGGTAAAATTTTCCCGCATGGTTTCGGCGTCATGATGCTCCGCAGAATAAACTGGGTTGTGGAAGTTACTCGCGTCCACTTTTTGTTGCTAACTTTCTTATTTGCTGGTGTAATTTTATGGAATTTCACTGCCATCCGGTAGCGCTTGAAGCTAGAAGTCCCTAGAAGTTGATGGCGAATAATCTTTCCCTCGCGACCAAGGAAACCAATAGCGAGGGTGGAAAATTTGAACACAACAAACTCCTGGATCAGTCGTTGTTCGATGGCTTCAAAATCCTTTATAAATGGGCATCGAGTAAAAATTTTAAATATGAAAAGCGGGACCATCTTTATCTACACAGAACTTTCTCCAGGGCTTGTTCTACCTTAGGGGTACCAGCGCGAGGGGGTCGCTTCTAGTCCGGCTGGAAAGAGGTGGTATTGTGTTTTTGAAAAGAAATATGCCTCCGTTTGTTTCGACTTGCTGTGTTTTCGGTTTCTTGAGGGCATGTCCACGTCCCTCCTCTTCGCACTTGGCGGCAAGTTTCTTTGAAAATTGTACAGCAATTTCGGAAAAAATCTAGGCAGGAAGGGGAAGCTTCAAGAGGAGGAAATTCTGACTTCTTCGCAAAATTTTCCACCAACGGTAGGATGTGTCCTGAACTTCCTACAAAACCCATTAAATGTGGGGCCCACTCTTCTCTCTCCCTTTTGTTTCGCTCTCGTTTCGTTGGTTCCTATTTGGACATTTTAACGCGAGCAGAAAGTGTAGTGCGTTCTATCGTGTTTTGAAGAGTCAGTGTAAGGAAACTCAATCGTTTATTCACAAGTTCCAAATTCTTTTGGTGGGAATTCTGTTCGCAGTCGCTGTGAGGTTTGGCACGATGTGTTTTCAAAGGGTAAGGGCCTCGTTGGAACCGGTTTGAATGGGGGTGATTCCACTTTACTTCAGTGCTCTATTGATCCATCTTACCCTTTATAGCCTTATCTCTTGGGCGTTAGTACCACAATGCCGTATCGTGTGCTGGGTTCAGCCTGTCCTGTCTGTCCCTGATTTTTTTAATCATTAATCACTTTTCGATCTATTTTTAGTTAATGTTCCAGACGGGCACCATAGCCAGTGGTCTAACTGATCTGGGGACATCTGTGGTATCCGTGAATCATACAAGAATGAGACCATCGGAAACACTCGACAGTGGCATCGATTCTGAGAACAGGTTCGTTGGGGCGCATGCCTTTTTCTCTTTGGCACTATTCAATTACTACAAGCTGGAAATCTCAGAGAGGTCAGGAAGTTCGCTGCTCAGAGTAGTGCAGCGGTCAAATTACGCGTATGACACTCGTATTCGGTAAAGGCGCTAATCGGCGCCAAGTCGCTCCTAGGGCTTTTTTGCCAATTCTTTACAAAGCGTACATTTAGGAGCAGGGAAATCTTGTCGTTGGCTCGCAAAATACGATCCTCCTCGAAATTTCCTCCTCTGGTACGACCCTCTTCCTCACGCCCATCTAACCTATACACCCATTTTCCCCGCTTCCGGAAGCCAGCCCCACCTCCCCCTCCCCTAATTGATCTTGTCATGGTGGGGGAGGAAGGGGCGGGTGGAAATAGTGCACGTGAAACGGCAAAAAAATAGAGAAAAAAGTTGCTCCCCAAAAATATTTTCTTAACGGTGCCCTGTTTACAAGTAATCTAGGATCTTTAACCAGAGTTGGACATTCCTTTCAAGCGAGGGCATTGTAATTAGTTTCATGGTTTTTTTTGAGATTTTACGGTAGCTGTAACTCAGCAACGCTTTTTTTCCTTTTTTATTAGTTTTTTGGTAATGCGTGAGGATTGCAGAGATCCAAATCCGGAAACTATCAGCTCGGTTTCTGACGACAAGGGTAGAGAGTTGATTGATGGGAATCTGAATCATCCGAAACCCGCTGATTCAGCGACAGGAATAGGTTTGTTTAGTGAAAATAATTTTTTATGCATCAAACTCCAAAGATTGAAGGATTTTTGATGGCGGAGAAGACCTTACTGTAGTGAGAGTTCCGTTCTTCAGCTGTAATCAGGTCCTCTCTAGGCGAAAACTGAGGGGTACATTGTGCATCACTGGTCCAACGCAATTAATTTTATGTTTCTGCCGCCTTTTATCCTAAACTTTTAATTCAGTGCATTTTCAGAAGTTTCGACGAATAACTTCAATGGCTCTGGTACTGATCCACCTGCTACGAATCTCCTAGAAACCTTACAACCAGCTGAAGAGATCAGTGCAATACCGCTTAACGAAGGCATCGTAAAAGTCGTTGCACCTCCGGAAGCTCTGGAAGACTTGAATAATGACGTTTTCGATGACGATGATGTTCACACCGCGAAGGCTCAAAACGATGGAGCCGTTCCTATTCCGCAAGCTAACGTCCAGGTATGTTCAGCCAGCTGGGTTGCAGGTTTCGGCACAGTTCGGCTGGAGGGGGATTTTGCTGGTTCTAACCAATCACTGCCGATGCCTGTTGAGGAAAACTGGCAATTCCTGTTAAACTATGCGATGTCAGGAGATTCGTTTACACGATTCTCCAGGCCTCACGAAAGGCGATGTGTAATTCCACGAGGAGTAACAAAAGAATATAGTCAAAGAGCAAAATGTCCCTCCCTATCCAAACAGTGCTCGCAACTTCTTTATGACGTGTTTTTAGGGCGAATCCATATTTGGTACATCGCTTCATGATGAGCTGATACTGGCTGATGTGAAACCTGGCAGTAACAGTCTCTTGAGCAGAAGCTGGAAAAAGCCAACGACAACTTCTGTAAGTTTCTTTCTTTTGCTATTGCACTATCTTATTTTTGAAATATATCAAAATATTTATTTGAAATTTTTTCGTTGGGCTTTGCTGCTATTTCGGAACACTGAAATAGAAAAATCCAAGCCGTTCTTGAGAATCACGGTGCTTACGTTGGGGGTGCCGGCGGCATCCCGACGGAGTCCGCTCCTCTGACCCCTCTCACCAAATCCTCATACTTTTCCCTCTCTGGGCTCGCTCTAGGAGGAATAGCCAGAGTCAGCGCGGCGCACAGGTCTGGATTTCAAGGCAGTGGGCACGACTGGCTTTAAATCCGGACTTGTACGCCTGCTGTGGACGGGCGGTGGTGACATTGGTGGAAGGGCTGAGTGGGTTGTGGCCAAATGTCTTCTGGCAGCCTTATCCCTTGACACTGGTAAAGTCCCCCGCCTCCACCAATCGTGCTCCTTTCCTTTAATTATGTCGCTGAGTGGCCCCTCCCAACTGCACTATCACCGGAAAAAGTAATGCTCACACAGTTGCAGTTAACAAAAACTTCTGTACACGAAAACCAGAGTCCGTGCGATCTCGTCTCAGTCGCCCCGCCGCGCGTCCCCTCAACCACGGTAGCGTCAAAAATATTATCGACCCAATTTTCAGATGCATAGATTGCTAAATAGGCCGTCACCTCTTCACCTTTGTCATAGAGCATAATCCTTGTTAGCATATCGTTCCATAACCCAGAGCTAGGGGTTTAGTTCAGGACATCCGAGGCACCGCGTCGCGCCATGAACTAGTGAGGCATTTCCCCAGTTGTTGACTCGATATACTGCAGCATTGCTACATTGATTTTGTTGGGTCCTGGTGCGAATGCCGCGCGCGCGACCAAAGTTGTAAGGCCTGATGCCACGGCTCGGATGTTCTGAACTACACCCTTTTTCCTGGCCGTCATGTAGCTTAGTATAATTCTGGGGCTTATGGCTTCTTTGAATAGTTAGCTTAGCTATTTCAAAAATGTTGTTGCTAATAAAGATAGCGTAGCGTTGAGTGTTTAGTCAGAACCAGAAAGAAGTGGTAGCGCTTTGCTTTCGTCGTCGTCAGGTACAGAAGCTGATGGGGGTATTGTGAGCTTTGACCAAGCGCTAAGATCAGCAATGGAAACCACTGGTTCTCCTGATAAGGTACTTTTTTGCCAATCAAACTTTCTTCACTAAAATTTTCCCAATTATTGTTGTGGTTTTTGTCTATATATTTCTTTGAACAAATGGTGTGTCAGGAGTACTTACCCTGTGTCTTGTGGCTATGCTGTCTTGGTTAGTTTAGCTCGCAGAAAAGACCAAATGACGGTTGCATTTAGGAGTTGGATTTGGATGACACGAGGGAGCTGGGCTTCGAGACGGATGTGGAAGATGCTGACGATGAGGTTCGTTTTCCATCTTTCTCTCAAAGTCGCCTATCAGGGGATAGGGGAAAATGAAAGGACTTCTGGTGCAAAACAGTGAATACTACTACAGAGTCGAACCCTATTGCCTAAAGGGAAAGACGCTCTTGGATAGGTAAACCTGTTTCTAGTACAGCAAGCCCAGTTTTTGCGCAATGAGTCCTTTAAAGTCCGCTTTCGTTATTAGCGCCTCCTGAGGATTTTTCTTGGGCGTTGTTATTTCTCAACTCCACGCACTGCTTAACCTCGGTCCTTTGGGTATACTGATAGGAACTGCTGGGTGGCCGGAACGAGGAGACATTTTCATTGACGCATCCCTCGTTTCCACACATCTATGGCAGCATTGAAGGCGAGAATAAGTGTGCCACGTCAAGGACGTTGTTCCCTGACTCCGCCCACAAGGCGATATCGACGTTGTCCTAAGACGTATCGATTTTCTGCCCTAGTCTGCGCTCTCCTACTTATTATATCACCTATTATATATTGCGCGACCCCCCCCCTCCCCCATCTCCCAGTTCAACATACTTTCTTTCGCAGGTTTCGACTCTTGAAAAGCCACTGTTTTTTTGCCTGTTTACGCATTGACCTTATGCGGCGGGACCATGAGTAAAAGTTTAAGTAAACACGCTTCTTGTTGTTCAACATGGCAAACTTGGAGATCAACATTTCTGTAAGAGAAGCTGTCGGGGGGTCTCGTAAAGAATAGGAGAGCGAGGGGTAGACTACAGGCGGAAGGAAAAAAAAAAAAAAAAAACAGGGCTACGCGACTGCTTTTATCTTCCATAGTCCTAGCACGAAGGGAGAGAGTGCAGACAGATAAGGGCAGAGGCTACGAGTGCATCAAAATACGCGAAGGAAAATGCGGTGAACTCGGATACAGACTTTCTCAAGGCACATGAGTCGCTCCGGGTGGATAAGCCACTTTTATTTGCTGAGGAGATGGCGTCGATTAAAGGATAAATTCTGCGCCGTTGATCATATTTTTGTGGCTTGTGCCACGCAAGCTTCTATTTCTATTCGTAGTGGCTTCCGGAATGCGGTGCGGCCTATACAATTACTAGCGGGAGCCAGCCGTCGTTGTGTCAGTGTTCTCATCCTCCCAGATGAATCTGGTACCAATTTACCGTCCTCGAAGGGTGGAAGGCTTGGTTAGCCTGGGCGGGAGTCGACCAGGGATGTGAACACAATACCGCACGAGTGGTAAGGAGCCACTTGTCACTACACCACCCCCGCCTCGGGGCTCAAATAAGAGCAGAAAATGGGTTGGGTTCAGGTCTAATGGGGGATTCAAGCAGTTCGTATTTGCCTTAATAAAATGTGGTTATGCATGGTTTTTCGTCTCTTGCCTTTGGTGTCTTTTTTGCCATTAGAAGTGAAAATCCAATCATCTTTTGTTTCAGCACAAATCCCCGTCTCGAAAGGAATCCGCAGCTCTTTCGGAGCAAGTGACCTCGAAATTGACAACAATTCCTCGTGAAGTGGGTCTGGATTCACAGGATTTCCGCTGCCCAATGTGTAGGAAATCTATTGGAGCCGCCTTTTCCAAATATGGGTAAGCTGTTTGACTTTGATGACTACGTAGCTGGTATTTTTATTTTTTAACAATATTTTTATTCTCCTCTGTTCTCAATTTATAGTGAAAAAAAGGCTTCATTGCTATTTAGAGTGTGCGCAATCGATGGTTTGTACTATTGTGCGGATTGTATGCGTGCTGGTGGTGAAATGCCAGTACCTGCTCGAATACTCCGCAGTTGGGACTGGAAACCCCGCACAGTGTCGGATAGAGGACGTGCTTTCATAGAAGCCAATCAGGTGTGCGAGTAGGCCCCACTCGTTGGATTGTGCTGTACAGATCTTAAGAAGTTTAGCTCAGTTCTTTTAGGACAATGTCCTAGTACACATTGATCTGCATAATCCATCTCTGTACGATCACGTGCCATTGTTGAAAGCAATGAAGGTGTGTTTTCTTATAGAAATTAGTGCTAGAAATTAGGTTTTTGTATGTCTTTAGTCCTGCTTTATTGTCAAAAGTATACACACGAATTTTTCTGGACAAGTATAGGAGGTTCGCTTACGTGCAGTCTGTTAAAGCTGGCGCAGTCACAGTTTTAAAGGGGGTCCGCTCATCTGGTTATCGCGGAATACACCTTTAAGCTCAAAGCTAGGTGACTGGTGCATAGTTTATATATGATAACCGGTGGCGAGGGGGGGGGGGTGATGAGCATTTAGTCTTTTTCATTGGCGCTACCCTCCCATTGAGTGACGCTCTAGTGAGCAGGGTACACTAGCGATGAATCTCTACCCATCTAGTTATTGCGGAGTGTGCCTTTAAGTTCACAGCTAGGTGACTGGTGATAACTCATCTCCGTGATAGCGAACCACGTGATAGATAGTAGATCTAGGGTATAGTTTGTGACATCTGAGACGCAGTGGAACACGAAACTGGCTGGTCGACTTGACGCGCTGCAGCATTGCCATGTGGAAGTGAGAGCGCTCATGTTTGGCGCGACGGGGGGCATTTTGCACTTTAACGACTTCCCATCGACGTGTCGACCCATCTAGACAGCCTCTTCTCGAGTTGACAGGTTTTACCATGATGGCTTGACGAGCTTGCTCCAGCTTCACAAGAGTTCACAGGTTTCACCAGAGTGAGACTTGTAAACCGGAACTAGTGAAGCAACAAAAGTGCAAAATGCCCCCCCCGTCGGCAAGCTGCGCCTTCAGTGATTGGGCTTGTTCTGGTATGATCTCGCTCGTGAGCGCCTCGCCGCCCTCTACTGCGGCCAGCGGTTTGCTTGACTGCTTAACCGTGCATCGCCTTTTAGGCTCGTTATAGTTCTGACATGGCAACCTGCGTCACGTGTCTCAAAGGATGTCAATTTTTTGGTTGGTGGTGCGAACGTTGCAATCGACTCAATATGTTGATTGAGCCAAATGGTGACGACAATCGCTGATCACAGGGTCGCAGAATTGCTGAAGGGGCCGCGAGAGAGGTTCGCCAGTTCTGCGAACTATACCAGGAAGGGGGGGGGAAAAAAAATCACTTCGACCGGAGTCACAAATCAGCAAGGTTTCTTTTTTTTTTTTTTTTTTTTTTTTTTTCGCCAGTTCCAGACAGAAGGACCTGGATAGCGATACCAAGGAAGAAGATACCAATAATGTTTCTCGATAAGCAGAAGCGCCGCCTCACCACTTCATGCTAACAGCCCAAAATATGAGTCATCTCCAGTCGCAGCCTGACTGGAGAAGACCTTTGGAATTCATGTCACCTCCAAACAGCTGCGAAACTTCTAGTATGGAGTCACCCATATGGATAGCTACGGGGGGGGGGGGGCGGAGACGCAGTGCTCTCATCTGTTAAAGACCTCAACAACTCTGAGCTAGCTCCGGACAACGTCGCTACGGCTATGGACATCATCTTCACCGCATGTCGCCAAGGCGGTCGGATTGGGGGACGCCGAGTACGTGGAATGGAAGACCAAATATTTTTTCGTCGGGCCCACAGACGCCCAGACTGAAGGTGGCGCTGGCGATTACATTGGAAAGAATATTTCTCCTCTCATGTGGTGCCCGTCCTTCTTGGACTTTTACTGCTACATGATTGTGTTGCCACCACATGGAATCGAAGGACGTTGGAGAAACTCTCGCCTACTTGGAATGGAAGGGGCTGAGTACCTAAAGAAGATGGAATATCCAAGTAGGTCACCTGACCTGAATCCCCTCAATTACCCGGTTCGGGCGGAGTCCAATAGTGATCTACAGGTGGCGAGACGAATCGACAATTCGCTGGTCTCCAGGCACCACATTGCGGCTCGCGTGCCTAGAGATCTCTCGATGCAGCGTCCAGAAGGGCTGTGGCGAAGTATCATGTAGTATTAAATATGCTTTTCAACTATCGGCCAGTAAAAACGTCCATCAGAATTGAATAAAGTGTAACCTACGCTCTGAAAGTCAATGAAGTAAAGTGACTTTCCTTTTCGCGCTCACCCCCCCCTGTATACGCTGTCTCACAGAGCGCGAGATTTGACATCAATTCGTAGGAACAATTAGCGCGGTTACATGAGACTTTCTGCTATTATTTTTGACACGTTCCAGGAGTACGAGTTTCTCTATGCATCAAAACTTACAGGGTCTGCGTGAGAAGCTGCAGATCGCGTCCATGTACCTATTCAACTGCCGAGAGTCAATAGCGGAAGATTTTCGGAGACGTGTGTGGCCGCGAAATCATTTGTATAACGACATTCACGCCTACTCGATCAGTGTAAGATTCAATTCCGACTAGTGGTTGTTTGACCGTTTTTCAGTGTGAGCCAGGAGATCCGAATCGCGGTCCTGCGCGCATACGCAGAGCATGCGCGGCAAGTGACGTCGCGAGAGCTGTCGCATGTGCGGCGAGGCGACGTCGCGTGCACGGCGGAGCGAGGTCGCAAATGCTGTCACATCCGCGCCATTCACACCGGACATATTTGCTTTTGCGTGGAAGTGCTACAGTAAAATGAGTTAGCGACCAACGTCTGCGCTCGCCGAGCCGCGACCTCAACTTGAATCTCCTGACCCGTACTTTTTTTGGAGTTTTTTGATTCAGTTTGTTGTTATATTTGTTATCAAGGCTTATTTTAGGATCTTTACCAACTTCACAGTGGCCTGTTGGAGAAACAGGTCCAAGGCTTCCTCAAGCATGCCATCGATCACGTTATGCACTGCTCGTTATGTCGCCAAAAGGGTTTCATCTGTGAGATATGCGAGGCCCGTGAAGTGATCTATCCATTCCAGACGGAGACCACTTATAGGGTAAGATTTCACTTGCTTTTGGACCCCTTGTGGGTCATGAGGTGGCGCGCCTGGTAATGGCGGACTTTTTTGTGCTGTTTTTTTCCGAGAAGTACAGGTTTTTAATCTGCGCATTTTCAGTGTCCACATTGTTTCTCGGTTTATCATGCGGAATGTGAACGTAGACTTGACGATTGCCCGAAATGCGTGAGACGTGCCAAGTACGAGATTCATCAGGAGGCGAATGATTTGCCGCTTGGATGACAAGTTTTCTTCAATTATTGTTAGAATGTACACCTCCATCCACGATTGTTTGCCCTGAGCTGATGGCAGGTTTCGCGATAATTGGGTGGGCAGAGACTAGCAACAGATCCGCTTTCCGTTTTGGCGCGCCACTCCTAATGTTATGAAGAGGGACTCTATGGCCACGCGTCCTCACCAGTTTCTCCGCCCATCCACTTATCGCGGAACACATCTATGAAGCTGTGACAAGCGGTAACCTTAGGGCAAGCTTTGGTGGGTATTTTCAAATGTATAGCTTATGTACTTCTCATTAGCCAATGTAGCCCAGTTCTTTTCAAGCCACCCCCTAACCGTTGTAATTAACATTGGCTCAAAAAGGATCCGGTTAACCCACCGTACTACTTCTCGAAACTACAAAAGTGCACTTAAAAACATAATTCTAACAAAGTTTTGTGAATTAACTCATGTTGTATTTAAGCATCCGCTCAAACTTGTTGCTAGTATTTTGGATTTTCCCGCAATTTTTTTTGATTTCCCTCTGATTTAGTTTCCAGAGCTCATTCTAATGGTACTATGTTGATTCTAGGTATTTTTATCTTTGTAAATATAGTAGAATGTTGGAAAGTGATGGTCTAAAAGGTTGTTCCTGAGAGATTTGTATACTTGTAAAGGAGCCGCTGGAGCTGGGGGCGGGTCCACGCAGTTTCTCTGCTCGTCTGCGCCCTCTCACCAAGACAAAAGTTCTTTCCTCAAGGCCTAGCTTTGAATGAGGGTGATTACTATCTCGGTGAGAGAGCGCAGATGACTAAAGTGAG